AGACTTGTTGCTAAAGGCTATACTCAAGAAGAAGGACTTGATTATTTTGATACTTTTTCACCTGTTGTAAAGTTAACTACTGTTAGAATTCTTCTTGCTATTGCCAGTTCTAAAAATTGGCATTTACATCAATTAGATGTAAATAATGCATTCTTACATGGTGACTTAAATGAAAATATTTACATGGAACCTCCTCCTGGTTATTTGTCTAACAATGATAATAGAGTTTGTAAATTACTTAAAAGTATATATGGTCTAAAACAAGCCTCTAGACAATGGTATTTTAAACTGTCTGAAACATTGAAACTTTCTGGTTACACACAGTCTCAAGCAGATTTTTCTCTTTTCACTAAAGTTAATAATACCTCTTTTACTGTCATTTTACTTTATGTTGATGATTTAATTCTTGCAGGAAATGATATGAATGAAATTAATACCATTAAATCCTTCTTACATCAGAAATTTACTATTAAAGACCTTGGAAAATTGAAATATATTTTAGGAATAGAAATTGCTAGATCAAAATCTGGTATTATTCTAAACCAAAGAAAATATACTCTTGACATACTCTCTGATTTTGGTTATCTTTCTTCAAAACCTTTTTCCACTCCTATGGATACTAAACTTAAACTTTCAAAACACAATGGAACTGTTTTAAATGATCCTAAAACCTATAGAACTCTAATTGGTAGATTATTATACCTTACTGTCACTAGACCTGATATTGTTTACTCTGTTCAAACATTGAGTCAATTTTTATCATCTCCTACTAATATTCATATGGCTGCAGCTCATAGAGTACTTAGATACCTTAAAAGTTCTCCAGGTAAAGGTCTGTTTTATTCTTCCAATTCTTCTTTTAATATCCAAGCATATACAGATTCTGACTGGGGTTCTTGTGTTGATACAAGAAAAAGTATTTCTCGGTATTGTTTTTATCTTGGAGATTCTTTAATTTCTTGGAAATCCAAGAAACAACCTGTAATCAGTAGATCTTCTACTGAGGCAGAATACAGGACAGCTGCAAATGCAGTTTGTGAGGCCCAATGGATAGCTTATATACTTCATGATTTACAAATTAAAAATTCTTTACCCATAACCTTATACACTCATAACAAATCTACTTATCATTTAGCATACAATCCTATTCAACATCAAAGAACAAAACATATTGAACTAGATTGTCATTTAATTAGGGAAAAGATCAATTCTGGTCTTATAAAACTTGAACATATCTCTAATACTTATCAACTTGCAGATATCTACACAAAGTCACTTGGAAATCTTCTATTCAAGCAGTTTGCAGACAAGATGAACATGAAGGACATCCATGATCATCTTGAGGGGGCGTCTTAAATATATATTTTGGACTGTTTTTATATTTCTGGGCCTATTGGACTGTTTACTTATTATAAGCCTGTTAGCCCATTAGTATAAATATGATTCCAACTCTGTAATAGGTTTAGGTATTCATTATTCTTCTTCTCCGCAATCTATCTTCATAGATTACGATTTTGCTTTCTCTGTAAACGATTGTTCTTGCTTCCAATATACAAATTTCAATTTCTATCAGAATTCACACATATGTTTTAGAAAAATATAAAATATGCAGCAGAAAACACATCAAGAAAAAAACGCAGCAAAACCCCAATAAAAAAACAATACTTGAAGGCAAGTGTAATGAAATAGCATGGACATATTGTTAAACACCTAGTGTGCTTTTAGTTTCCTTTCATATGAACTTGTTTAGAACATATAATCACAATCCAAGCCTTAATTAATACTTCGTATAAAATGTGAAGCCAAAAAACGCAACAAAAGAACAGCAAAGGAGCTGCAAAAAGCGCAACAATTGAAGGCAAATGCAATGAATTAGCTTTGACATATCATCATAACCTAGTGTGCTTTTAGTTTCCTTTCAAATGAACTTGTGTAGACCATTTGATCACAATCCAAATATTAGGTAACAAAAAATATGCAACAAAAAATGCAGTAAAAACAGCAAAAAAACGCAGCAAAAACTACAGCACTTGAAGGCAAGTGCAATGAAACAGCCTTGACATATTATCAAACATCTAGTGTGCTGTTATTTTTCTTTCCTGTGAACTTGTATAGACCATGAACTTCTGTCCAACTATGAATTTACGGGAAACACCATGTAAACACCTATTAACTAATTTATTGCTGAATTTATGCTGGGTGGAAACGCAAAAAAACAAATGCAGAGCAAAATGACTCACTTTGATGAGATAAAAACACACAAAGAACATATTGAAGATCACATATGTAAAGAACAAACATGGCATTACTTTTAATAACAGGAGAATAATATCTAAGGAACAAATTAAAAAATGTAATACCTTAACTCATTAAGCAAAGGAAAGGGCCAATGAACAATGGTGAAATACTACAGAGGAACATAGGATAACACTTGAAAGACTTTTGATCAACGACCGTGAGAAGGGGGTAAATGGAAGTCAAAACCTCATTATATAATGAAAGCTTAAGATCCAGCTACATGTAAAATTAATTCTTAAACTATTGATGAGAGACGCTACATCTTCTTGAGCGGATGGAGATGAAGGATATAGTTGCGGTACGTTGGGGAAAATCAAGAGCTCATATATCTCAGGAGTTGGAAAATAACAGACGAAAGGTACTCAGTCGGGGATTTGGCAGTGTGAAAACAAATTAAACGCCGTCATATATGAAGTTGGATGGAAATGTCTATAAATTAGAGAACGGTAAATGAACGGAACACTCAGAATAGCACAAGGTACTACACCTTATAGCCTCACATGAAGAAGTAATGAGCATTTAATAATAAAAAGTGGTCTTTATTAAGATAGGTTAAGATATGTAACACATTAGAAATGATTTTTATTTTAAACTCAAATGAGTAAAACGCCTAAAACAAATGAACATACAATGAGCTTTTGAATTTTTGGATACTCATTTTGTAAGTTATGTATGTTTATTTAGTAACTCTGTTATACTCATTTTAAAATGTTATATCAATGCATATTTCAGAAATCTCATATTACATTAGATTTACTTAGGAGTTGATTATAGACACGAGACCACAAATCATGATACTCAATCGCACGATTCTAATACTCAATAATGGAGGTTTGATGCTCACTGAAAATGTTTTGATGCTCAACGAACAAAACTTACAATTTTTATATCAATGCTCATCTTGTAAGTTACATATGCTCATTTGTATATGTTTGATGCTCATTAAAAATTCATTAATGCTCATTTAATAAAAATCGTGATTTTCATCGATCTCAATAGTGAAGGTTTGATGCTCCATTAAAATGTCATGATGTTCAACTAACAAACTTTAGGATTTTCATATCAATATGCAATTTGTAAGTTAGGTATGGTATGCTCATCTAGTATTGATGTTATGCTCATTTTCAAAATGTCATATCAATAAATATTTTAAATGTACCATATTACATTGGATTCACATATTGAAATTCATAGGAGTTGATTATTGATATAATTTAATAATTTTTATAAAAGAAAAAATAAGAAAAAGAAAGTGAATTGGAAAATACGAAGCAACGATCATGATGCTTAATATTTGGCTTCTAATACTCAATAGAATAGGTCAAGTGCTCACTAAACGTACACTAATGCTCATTTAGCGAAAACCGTGATTTTTTATCTAAATTACTAAAATGTCATTGATTGTACAGTGACCACCGTACACCCGGAGGTACGATATAGGAGTTGAACATTTAGAGCATTATTTGGTGTAGTGTGTAGGTCAAACAACTTACTAGAAAAATAAATAAACTTATAATAGTAACACGTGTAACACTCGGGACATGTCCCTGTAGAGGAGTTTTTTCCAAACTAAGGTACTTTCAAACTTATTTCTCAATTAGGGGTACTTCTAATCTTTTCTTTTTCAAATAGGGGTACTTTTGTCTTGTCATTCGCCATGCCCACCTATGTCTTGTCAGCACAATGGCACACCACATATTCCACATCATTCATTTGCTCTTCCACATCATCTAAATTAGGTGTGTTAAAAATTATTTAAAGAAATGGGCCTAGCAGGAATTGAATCCACGACTTCATGCACATATTGGAGCCCCACGACATCACATATTGTGGCCTTTTTTAACTGCAACTTTTACACTTGTTACAACCACGTCTTTTTTATTTCAAAGAGATGTACTACCTTTGTCTCACATAAAAAATAGTATGCACTATTCTCCGATCAATGTAGATTGTTCTTAATGTTTTACCATAGATATCCAACTTTTATTAAATTTGAATTTTTTTATCGACTTTATCAAACATATAATGTAATTTCTAATTATGTAAATTTTGTTTACTAAAAATAATCTTATTGAAAGGGATCAATTAACAACTCACACAATGTCTGGATCAAACTTGGAGTCCAAAACGGAGGGGGTACTAAACAATACGGATTACGAAGTATGCAATAAAAAAAGGAAAAGGTACAAATATACCCTTGTAGTATGAATGTTAGAACAAATAACTCATGTTCTATTTTCCGAAACAAATATACCCCTGAAGTATATATGGAAGTGCATATACACCCCTGAACTTTTCGAATTTATATTTTATTTTTGGTGTTTTTTGAAATTTATTTTATCTATTTAAAGCCAATAGGAGTAAATTTGCTTCTTTATAAGAACATGAGGGGTGTTTTTGAACTTTTTAAATGTTCAATGGTATATATGCACTTCAACATATACTTTAGGGGTATATTTATTTCGAAAAATAGAACAGAAGTATATTTATTCTTCCACCCATAGTATAAGGGTATATTTGTAGTTTCTCCCATAAAAAACAAAAGAACTCAGGAAAAATTCTAAAGGTACACACTTTTTGTGTGTACACTTTTTACACACAAATACGTTTTGTCTGTACAGACAAAAAAAACCTTACACAGACATGTGTAAAAAGTGTACACACAAAAAGTGTGTACCCCAAGCAAAATTCAAGAACTCAATGTCAGTTTCTAGTAGTACGTATTTTCGCTCAAAAGCAACAACTCTAAAAAATTGCAGTACAAATGTCTGGATCAAACTTGGGGTCCGGATTCCGGAACAAACACATTGTTATATACTCTAGAGACGAAGATAACCATAATCCCTCAAATCGGAAAATTTAGGTGTTTTAATTTTAGATGCCGGCCGATGCCATCTCAAGTAGCTTCAATACAATGTAGATGTGTTGTTGGATTGGACATCAACCCGGAAATCACACCATTGGGCTGGACTGGGCTATGGGCTTTCAACGCCTACTGTAACGTCTCTGGATCTTTCTTATCTTGGGCAGGACATGCCATCTAAGTTGAGGAATTCACTTGTCACAATTTATTGGCAAGAAGATTTCCCTAAATAAAGAGAGATCAATCCCAAAAAAAAGTAAAATTCCTAGGAAGAGTCTGGATGTATGTTATTTTTATTGCACAGTAAAATTTCAAAAAGCCTATCAACCAATTCGGCTGCCCACTATCACTTACCACTAGTGCCACACTGCCACTAAAGAATAGTTAAATATCAAACTCAACAGAAGAAAACTTCAGTATTCACAGCTATCAGGTCAAGAACTGGGAAGAGCTTTCATCTCCATTTGTGGGCTTTGCAGAGTGTCAGCCGCTCTCGAGGGAGGCCAATATCTGAAAACTGATCGTCCTACGATATTCTTAATAGGAAGTGGCCCCCTAACAGTAAGGAAGTTTAGAATGAGCATGTCAAACTTCAAAACATGCATTTATATATTTGTATAGTAGTAACAACACACTATTACCAGTTATGAGAATCAAAGCTGTTATTACGGTTGTCCCCCATCACAAACACATAGCCATCAGGAACCAACTGCATACATAAAATAACAAGAATCATGTTGAAGGCAATTGCTTATATTAGTTGCCTTTACAAATTACTTGGCTGTTTGTGCAAAAATTGTTGGTAATACCAATTGCTTGTTAGCTGTTTGTATGTATAAAATGTAATACGTAGTATAAGAAACTTTTCAAAAGGCCTTTCTTTAAGAGCTTCAAAAGGTTGTACGGTTTTTAAAGTGGGCCTTTGTGTTACTTTTGCTAATTCAAAAGGTTTATTATCAAACACTGAATTAACAGTCTATTAATTTAAAGAAGCCAACCCCCTCCAAAAAGTTCTTTCCCAAACTGAGCTTGCATTAATAAAAAAAAATCAGTACCAGTCGATCCATTTCATAATCAAGAGGCTCCAATATGAATTCCTCATCTTCCGGTATGTCATTTACATACAACTTACCATCTCGCACCTGAGAAAAGCATCACATCACATCATATGTTAAGATACGATGATTAGAGTGCAAGGTAAAATACAGTACTACGTATTATATAATGAAGATATGTACTAACTTCCACATAATCACCAGCTATTGCCACTACTCTTTTTATAAAGATATCTCCAGAACTATAACCAATTGCCTGCATAATACTTCCCAAATCAAAGAAGAAATGATTGTATTCTCAAACTAAATTCAGCACTGCTAAGAAAATAATGCCAGCTTACCTGGAGAACCAGAGGAGCTTTGAAGATCACAATTTCAGAAATTACAGGCTTTCTGAATATATATGACACCTGAAATTTGGAAAGCGTCAAGTATAACATTAGAGCAAGACTCCCAAAATTCCTTCATGAAAATATGTTTTGTGTTAGTCTATAACTAATATTGTTCCAAGCAGCAGAAAAACAAGAAACAATGCTGGAACATCTCAATAACAAAATATTAAAACCAAAATGGACGGATTATACCTTCTCTGCCATAATTCTATCACCCACATCCAAAGTAGGGTACATGGATGTGGAAGGAATTGACCTAGGCTCTGCCAAGGATGACTTAAATAGTAATCTGATGCTGAGAGCCGTGAAGGCGGCCTTTGCATCATCAGAGCTCAGACTAATCATCTTAGACAGCCATGTCTGCTTTGAATTGTCTGGAATAGAATCTGATAAAGTAAAATCTTTGTTCTTCTCAACAATGGTGCCTCCATTACCGAACGGAGTGTTGCAAGGCAGCCACTTCGATCCTTGCAGAAAGGGAACGATCGAGGCGCGTCTCAGTGGAGAAATCCCAAAAGCAATAGTAGCAGTAGAAACCCCAGATAACGACGACGTACTGATCAGAGAAATCAAGACCGAAAACAGTGGAGACTCCAAGCGCCCGCCAAGAGCGTCGGCGGCAATCGTAGAGAACTTCGTAGTTGAATTAGAAAAGAAACTAGAAGAATTCGGCGGACTGATGGAGTTTCTGCGGTGATTGGACCCTCTGGAATCGTGAGAGCCCGTAGAATCAGGGATCTGAATGAAATGGGGACGGCCGGAACACAGCTCATGGACGAACCGGCAACCGGCAACCTTTGAGGAGGCGGTGGAAGCAAGGTTTTGCGCAACGTAGCCATAATAGGCGACGGTGAATCTAATAGCCATAACAGAAAATTGAAAGAAATTCACTCCAAAGACTCCAAAATGATATTTAGGAATACATTATTTAAACTGAGATTTCAAACATTGGGTAGATAAGTAGATTGGACAGTCGCCGAGGAAAGAAACGGAGTCCGGGAAGCTGGAAGCCTTCCCAGAAAGAGGGAGGGAAGATGACAGCTGATTCACGGATAATCCGAGAGAAAACGGCCCCTTTAGGAATTCAAAGACGGCTGCTGGGCCTTTAAACCTTCATGGAGCACTTTGGGCCAGTGTATCTTACGTAATACGGACTGTACTAAAAGAAATCAAATCCAATGCAAAATGTACTGCAGAGCATTTAAATTCGCCAATTTAATTATTAACTATCTTCGTCCCATTTTATGTATCTCCTTTGATTGTTGCACAAATTTTAATAAAATTGTTGAAAAGGTAAAAATTAGAGTTGATATTTGACTATAATGTAGTGAAATATTGTGAAACACATATTTCTTTCCAAAAAAGAAAAGATGTAAAATGGGACGACGAGAATAATAAATATGTAAACTTCAAATTTCACCCTTAATAATGCTAAGAAAAAGAGTAGTTGGAAACTTGTAATCTCTTAGTTGGTATCATTCCTTTCATTTGTCTTCCATGGCATCTAAATTCGCTTAGAACACACACATAATATCTATAAAGGAAGTTTGACTCTAACTCTTTCTGTAATTATTAATTTATTACTTTGTAATTACTACGGTTATTTCTACGATTAACAAGCATGTGCATCGATTCCTACAATTGTGGTCGTTTCCTAGCGCTCGTCAAGGGTCGAAGAAGGTCACGACGCTCTACTCGGCCGTCTGCGTTGAGATTGAAAGGACTCATCGGCAAATTACGGATATTATGCTTTCCAAATTCTGACATAAATTGTGTTGCTAACTTGTTGCGTACTGCTACTTGCTGCCCGAAATTTTGTAGGTGCTGTGATTTGTGGGGATGGAAGCAAGTTTAGAGGAGACTTACGACAGACTGGCTCTTGATCGAGCGGCGTGCCTTCGGTACTGAATGTGAAGGTAGGGTAGAGAATGTGATGTAGGAGTAGGGTGAGGAAAAGATACAGTATTGTATCTTTTCCTGAACCGCCGTATGGAAAGACTGTGTGGCTCGAGTTTGGAAGAAGTCATTTCAATTTTGGATTTGGCCGCAAACGGTTTATTACTCTATATTTCTTTCTAACTTTATTTATGTTTCTTTAGACTTTTTACTTTGTTTTTGGTTTGCTTGTGTTTGTGGTTTTATTGAGGTGCTTATGGCCGTTATTTGTTTTGAAGCTCTCTATGGGGGTGTTTGGCAATTGGGCGTTACCGGTTGACTACCGAATTAGCTTATTGATGACAGTTGATTTTGTTAGCTGTTTTGATTAGCACATAATATTAGCAGTTTATAAATGATGTTCGGTAAAATGATTGTTTACAATCGGCTGATAATTTATTAAATGACTTTTAAGGACATCAATTGTATTTTTTTATTTTCTAACTACTTTTATATACATATATATCATATACGTTTTGTTAATATTATTATTTATTAGTACACAAACTTAAATCGCTTTTATTTAATAAAATTACTCCGTCAAAAATTTAAATCGTAACAATTGTTTTAAACATTAATTTTCATATACTAATAATTTAATTAGCATGATTATATCTTGATAAATAAATGGAGTGATAATAAAAAAATCATGAGCTACAGTATGAATTATCTAGCCTTAAATGCCAAAATATCGATGGGATCTGTGTTTTAAAAAGCTTGATTATTTATTTGTTACATCTATCGATCAATCGAAACAAAAAAGGTCAAAAGAAAATTAATGTAAAGCAGAGTATTTGATGTCGTGTGTGAAGAAGAAAGCTTTTTGGTTGCTTTTTTGGTTCCTGGAGAAGATGACCCAGAAGCTAAGTTAAAAAGCTATTAACCAAATACCTCAATCAACTGATTAATCTAGTCAAACAAAGAAATATTGATCAAATTAGCTAAAAATTGATTGATAGCTACGTAAGCAAACAATCCCTATGTCTAATCAGGGAGTGAGGAGACTTTTCGGCTAATTTGAGTTTGTTGAAGTGGTAAAGAGTACGATGATCTTAATGACCAGGGTGAAATTTATAGTGTCCGCTTTATCGCCAGCGATTCGTGTTGCTTCTTTAGAAGTGACAGTTTGAGAATATGATTGTATGACTTTTCTTAAGTCTAGATGAAATCTGATAGAAGATAGTTGATAGATTTTTAATTCTCTCTTGTTAGTTGTAATTGCAAACCATTGATTATTTAATATAATTTGGCATTTTTCTTTAAAAAAACAATCATGTGCATATGGTGCTATCTATTTAAACACTTCATTGAATAATAATATTCTATATACAATTATTTTACCAAAAACATCCATAAACATAATTTTGAGATACAAAGTGAGATTCATAAAATGCTAAATTAATACAAGAATATGAGAATCAATACATTGTTATCCCTAGTTTGACCCGTTCAATTGGTTCTGCTTTAGAACTTTCTTATTTGATTGATGTTATGTAAACTTTGTGGTTCCATTTTGTACTTCCACTGATTATTGTGTATAAGAATGTTAAAAGTGTGGTAAATTTAACTTAAAAGAAATAATTATTGTGAACCATATGTTACTTTTCTTGAAAATACATGAGAACATTTCGAGATGAATGAGAAATAAAACATGTACAAACATTAATGAAATATAAATTAATCAAATGTATATTTTAATTTTATTGAGAACAATAACTTTAGTGGTTGTGAAGTCTTAAAGTTGTCAATTTATCATTTATTTTAAAGAAGTTGACTTCAGAATAGTAAAACAAATATGAAATTCTAAAATATAGTCATGCGGATTTTATTTCTTGAATAAAATTGTGACACTAATAATATCATATTAATTTATAATGCATCAAAATGTGACAGTCATATTTTAAAGATAAAAGTAAATTAATCATATTCAAATAGCTCAACATAGAACTCTTACTTTGAAATTCTACATTGTTTTTATTTCCATCTGGAAATTCCTTTAATATATAGTATAGGCATGCACATTATATTATTTGTCCTAGATTTGAAACATGTACTTTTTGGACGTATTAAAAACCCAATTGTACTACAAAACTTTTCATGAAAACTTTCTCATTCTGGGATAACGGGAAAGGTGCGGAGCTTAGATGGCATAAAATGTTCTCATATTAATCGATCAACGAAATGAGTCGCTCACTCTTTGGCTAGAGCTCGATTCTCATGTTTGGTTTAATCCTACTCCTTCATTTGTAGCTTTGGACTTGAATTTTGATTTAATGAATACTAGTATTTAGTTCTCTCTTCCAAAACAACTCATTAATGTACATTATGACATGTGTAACTTTAAATGAATACTTTTTTTTTACTTCAGGAGAGTCTGGGGGAGGGAGCTGAATGAATACTTGAAAATATATGGAGCAATCTATATCTATATGATATTATAAAACTAACCCTTGGAGAGCTCTTTGGAGAAAGAATTGACATGTGACATCATCTTTTGTAGAAAAATGACATGTTGCAACACCATTAAACAAAAACTATTCAACTTCCAAACCGTCCTCCACTCATATGTATTCCAATAAAAATTTAGATAAAAATTTATGTGTACTGTATACTATGTATAAGTTAGGATATTATATATATGTATATTTGTATTTATGCATCAAAACATTGTGTATAAATATAGGTAAAAAATTGCACTCGATAGTAGCACATAAATTGCAAATACTCAAAAATAAAGAATAATGACAAATTTTTGCCTCTTAAAATAAAAAATATCCCTCTCATGCTTCTTTTCCAACAAACTTGCAGGTTTTAAAGGGTGCTACGTGGATCAATGTAAAAAATACGTATGGAAAAAGATCTTAAAAATAATTACACTGAAATAAGAATGAACTGAAACGATGCACATCATCAAAATTTCTGGATGTGCACACATATAATTAAAACAATGGTACTTTAAATGGACATAAAAGGCAAAACTTATCTACAAAATGCCACTTCATTTTCTGATTTATGGTAGTGCATATTTCTATTTCACATAATGAGCAACTCTGAAATCTAATTCTTCAAATTCATTCTCATCTTTCTTCTTAGATCATGTTCACATTTGATCCAAATTATATACGTAGTGTGTGTTGGGGGTAAACAAAAGTCATCTAATTAATTTGGAGGCCCTAGTTCTAAATGTAAAATCAATTGAATAATCATTCACTAGTGGAAAAAGATCAATCAAAAGCGCATGATTGGAGGCACTTTTACCAAAAACGCCTTTATATTTCATTGGAAAAAAGAAAATTTGAGACGTGCGGCGTTTCTCATAGAATGGAGGAATTTCAGGCGCTTACACGGAATAGAAAGCGCCTTGGTACTAGCTCTACGGCACTTCAATTTGGGGCGCTTCAAAGCGCAGCACGGATCCATTTTTAAACGCCTCTAAGAAGATTTTTTCCACTAGTGATTAAATAATGTAATAAAAAATCTAAAATTTACTTTATACTTGATTTAAAGCAAGACACCTCATTACTCAAGCAATTTGAATAAAAGAGAAGTAAAAGGGCCGAGCAAAAAATGATATATATGTATTTTTCTTCTTTTGTTTTGAAAGGAAACTGACTGATTATATTAGAAACCAAGAACCAACGATATTACAAACTTTTCAATACCAAACAGCCTCCTGCTACCAAATTTACCATAACCCGAAGGTCCCCTCACCCTCTGATTAGACATAGAAACGACCACCCTAGCTAGAGCGGATCGAGTCGCTAACCATGTGAGAGATTTGATGATTGTCTCATCTCTTGAAGCCATCTTACTTCTTAGCATAAAATACTTACCCACCTCATAAGCATAGCACTCCCAGACAACTAAGAGTCCAAACTAAAAAACAAATTGGAAAATAAGAATATTAAAATGCAAATTAAACGAGCCTGTTGGTGCTTGCCAAACTCCATTATTTTTTATCCCTTCTAACTGAGCCCTTCCACAAACAGCCAAAGTTCCAACTCGTGCTTTTCATGGCGGTGATTCAGGAGGAGGCCGGATCATCAGGGCTGCTATGAAACCTTCGTCTTTCAAAGCTAACCAATAGCACTTCACCAATTGCACTTCATTCTCTTCCATCTTCATCGTGATCTCATAGGCTTG